GCGCGCTGCCTTGGCGGGTACACCCGGGCGCACCTCGGCCGACCGCAGGCTCGCTGCGCGCGTTCCCCTCGCCGCCAGGTGAGGAGTGGGCAGTGGCTGGGTCGGGCGGCTCAGCGCCGCGGGAAGGCGCGAGAAGCCGCAGCCACCACCAAGGACAGCTCGGGCGCTGTCTGGTGGGGCGCAGAGTGCACGTGTGCGCCAGTGTGTACGCGGGGGAGCGGGTGTGTGCGTGCGGCTCTCTCTCGAGGGCGGCCCAGGCGGGCCGGCCCCACGAATTTATAAAGGGAAGGGAATCCCGCTGGTTTGGGACTCCGGTGGGACAGCGCAGGGAATCCCCGCGCCGCCGCGCGCCCTCCCGCCGTCGCGCTCGGTGCACGCAGTCTGGTCCACCCGAGCAGAAGGGCCTCTGGCGAGCCACGTTCTCTCTGACCCCAAAGCCGTAACTTCTCACTGCTGCAGCCGCCCCCAAGTCCTCCCCCTCGGCGCTTTAGGCAGACGAAGAGACCCAAAGTCCCAGCCTACCGAGCGCGTCGGGCACCCGGTACCCCGCCCAGGGACTCCACTGCCGAGTTTCCTACCCGCCCGGCTCCTGTGCGGGAGGCCGAGGAGAGGGCTTCCTCCACCCCCGCCCGCCCCGCGCGCGGCCCGCGGCACTCACAGGTAGCTGCCGCTGGACAGGATGAGAAAGATCTGCGGGCAGTACACGGAGAGGAGCGCGCCGCGCGGCGACAGCAGGAGCATGGTGGGCCGGCGCTCCTGGAAGGGCTTGGCGGGCCCGGCGGGCAGGGCGCCGGGGCCAGTTGAGGCCGGGGTCTCCGCGGCCCTCCCCGAGGTGGGGCGGCGACGCCAGGCGCTAGGGACCCCGGCGCGCGGGCCCCAGCGCAGGATTCGTCCGTGCCCCGCCGCCAGGGCCGAGCATCGCGCTGGGGCTGGGGCTGGGGCCGCGGCGGGCGCTGGGGCTGGAGCGCGGAGCGAGGGGACGGGCAGCGGGTGCGCCTCGGCGGCTGTCTGGCCCTCCGTCCGTCGATCGGTCGGAACCGGCTCTGTCGCTCGCTCTGGCTCAAGTCTCCAAGTCTCTCGAGGCGCGCAGCTGCCATTGGACGGGCCGCCCCTACATCCGCCTCCTCTGCGGGCGGGTTTTTTAAAGGGGAGGCTGACCAGAGCGTGCGACAGGAGCCGCCCCCAGGGCTTGCCCAAACTGCCTTGGCCCCGTATCCCCCCACCTCCCCGCCCAGCTTCAGCGAACCACACAGCTCCGGCCTGCTCTGGAAGGTGCACCTGGGGGGGAGGCACCTCGGCGTAACTGCGCGGGGGCGTGCGCTCCTCTTGGGGGGGCTGTGCTCGGCAGTCTGTTCTCGAGTTCGCATGCATGTGCCTGCATGTGCCTGCGTGTGCCCGCGGGAGCGTGGGCGCGTCTGTGAGGGCGCAGGTGTGTGCGCACAGACGCACTGTGGGTGCTGCACCTTCGCCCGCGTGCGCCCCTGGGTTCGGTTAGGCGGGCTGCGAGTCGCACACGCTCATCCCAGCCAACCAGGCCGGGCCGGGCAGGGCTCACCTGTGCACATGCGCACTGGCGTCGCTGTAGGGTTCTGCCTCGGCGCCTCTTTGGAGAGGCAGTGAAAGGTCACCCCTAATTGGTTCACGGAGACCCCCAAATTTGGCTCCCCCTCGCTTCTTTTGCTCTCCTCTGTCGGGTCGGCTGAGGTAGGTGTAGGGAGGCGCAGATTCACAAGGACCCACTTCCTAAACAATCCTCCTTCCCGTGATTTTTTTAAAAGCCAGAAACCCACTTCTTATTTCGAGGTTTTGAGTCCCACCTCCTGCTGTGTGCCAAGCCTAGCTATATATGGATGATCTTGCAGAGACAGTGCGGACCCTGTCCGCGGGGGCGGAGCACAAGGCAGGGATGACTACGAGAGGTCTGTGCGGATATGGCCAGTGGTCCAGCGATGGGGCATTTCCTACCTTCTAGACCTGGCCGGGACATTCAGGCCCAGCATCCAGAAGCAGGGGGCCGCCCCCTTCACCTTCATCCCTCGGGACCCCTCTGCCTCTCCCAGGGTGGGAATGGAGCAGGGCTGATCCCTGCTCCAATTCCAGTGGACCGCGAGTGCCTGGATTCCAACGGCTTGTCCCTGCCCTGGCTTGGCCTCCCCGAGGGCTGGAGGCTGTTCAGTCCAAAAGTGAGGAACCGTGACTCCCCAAAGCCATTTGTTTTGAAATTGCTCAAAACCCGAGGCAAACCTCCTCTTGGGGCCCTGATCCCCAAAGGTGTGGTGAGGCCCCAGTTCCCCCTCCCTGCTGGTCTGGAAGCTTCCCCCAGGGGCTCCACATCTGTGTTCTGGTTGCTTGTGCACAAGTGGGGGAGGTTCCCGGTGTGCCTTCACAGACATGCACACACGCATGTGGGTTGGGTGGGGGGAGGGCGTGATCACGGAGTATCCCCCAGTGCATGCCCCAGTGCACGCATCTCTGACATTGGCTTGGAACTGCTGTGGCCCTAAAATCCACCACATGGAGGAGTCCCCAGGGTGGTGATACCAAGGTCATTAACAGAGACGGCAGTTGGGCTGGTGAGCACAGGTGTTTACTGGGGCCTCACCTCTCCTCCCAGGGCACAGGCACCCAGGACAGACGTTCCTTTGCAGTACCCCGAGAAGGACGAGAAGGACTGGAAGGACGTGCTACTGTGGCCCCACTTTTTGGATGAGGGAGGCAGACTGGGAGATTAAAGCGCCCATCCAAAGCCACCAATGAGGAGTGAGGGGAGGAATGAAGCCCAAAACTTATTCTGGGTGCACTTCACTCCCAAGTCATTAACCCCTCTGGTCACATCTGGGCCCAACTGCCCCCCCCTTGCACAACCAAGATGGCTCGCAAAGACAGCAAGCCACACTCGCCCCACGCGCACCCAGCAAGGTGGGCCGCCAGGGGCTGTGTAGTGACCCAGGTGGAGTCCGCTCTCCTCAGTGGATCCCAGTGGCTCCCTAGCTTTCCCGGACGGGGTTCCGCAGGGTGTTTGGAGCCTTGGTTTTCTTCTCTGCCCCCAGGAGCATGTGTTTTAGGCAGCACAGCAGGGGAAGGAGCTGCCCACCCTGGGGTCCCTGAGTGGAGGCAGAAGGCAGCATCTGGCTCTCCTGCTGGCTCCCAGAGAGGCCTGCACACAGGCTGGGTCTCCCTCGCTTGTCTCTCTCTAGTCAGACACAGGCCACCACCGTGTTCAGGATGGCCAGAGCCACAGTCCCATTTACAGACCGGAGAGGGGAGCTGCTTTGTGTCTGGAGGTCAGTAGGTCCATCACATAGGTCTCTCAGCTCTGCAACCAGCCCTGGGAGCCCAGGATGGGCACCACCTTGAGCCCCTTTTGCTGCTGGGGTGGGGAGGGAAAGGTCCTAGAGCACTTCCCACAAGCTGGGGGGCGGAGGGCTGTTCTTTTGGATGACTCCTGTGGAGAAATGGGTGCCTGTGCTAGGAGGAGGGGTCAGCGGTGGAGGCCAGAGCCAGTCCCAGCTCTGCCTCTTACTCTTGGGGACAAGTGACTTGGCCTCCCTTGCTCAGTTTCCTGATCCTTAAAACGGGGACCTAACTCTAGGATGGCCAGGAGCGGACAAGGCCTTGGTGCCGAGGACCAGGGAGAGCCTCAATATGCCCATGACTTTGGGGGCTCTAGGGAGAGACACTGCAGTGCTGCTGGGCTCCGGACACAGTGCCTCCCTCCCACCCCCAGCCCCTGGCGGACAGCGCAGCTCCCTCACCTCCATATGGAACAGGCAAGAACACAGCCAGCACAGTCCAACAGTCAACAGAGCCGCCAACAGCCCTAGGCCCACCAGCCCAGGCCTGCCGAACTGAGCCTACGGGGGTCTTCCCGCCCTGCCTCTGCAGTCCCAGGCCTCATTCCCTGCCCGCTGGGCCTCAGTTTCCCCATCAATAAAACGGTGGAGGGGGCGACCGAGGGACCGGCGATAGACGGAGGTGATGATTCTCAGGTGGTGCTTCTAACCTCTCAGCCTGGGGCCGCGTCTCCGCCTCCCCACGGCCTGTCCACCGCCTGTGCTCCGGCCAGAGGCGTCACTGGCGCACAGTAGGGGCGCACGGCGCGGCTGGGCCCGGGACGTGGGCGACCCCCACCCCCAAGCGAGGTGCACCGCACCCCCCTTCACGGTCACATCGCCCCCCCACCCCCACTTCGAGCAGGGCCGAGACAGCTTCTGTCTAAAGGAGATCGCAGCCCAACAGGTAAGGACTCGGCTGCGTTCAGGAATGTGGAAATACGACTCGGAGCAGCTACTGCAGCGAGCAGTGAGCGCGGCCCGCCGGGCGCCCGCCCGCCCGCCGGGCCGCGCGAGGGGGAGCGCGGCGAGAGGGGGCCGGGCCGAGGGCCCAGGGCGGGCGGGGGCTCGGGCCCGGGACCGAGCCCGAGGCGCCGGGCCCGCCGCGCGGCCCATCCCGAGCCAGCCGGACGAGTTGTCAAGGCAATTTCAACACGTCCGGGTGATGGATAGGGTCGAAGGGCCCCGGCAGGTGCCCCGGCCCGGGTGCTCGCCCCCCTCCCGCCCAGGCCTCCCCGGCCGCCCGACGCCCCCGGCTCCTGGCCCCGGCGCGCCCTCCAGACGGCGAGCTCTCGGCCCGGGCTCGGCGCCCAGCGCAGCCCGGGGGAGGGAAGGCGCGTCCCACCCCCAGGGCCTGGAGCCCAAACAGGTGAAAGTACGCGCCGGGCACGCTCGCCGCTACCCGCGAGCCTGGCCGCCGCCGCCTGCGCGCCCCGCTCCCCTTCCACGGGCCCCGGACTCGGCGCACTTCGGGAGTACCTGCCGTTCGTGGGGTTTGGGGGCGTCTCTGCTGGGCCGGGGCGAGGGTCCGACACGCAGGCCAGCCCCGGATCCCCAAGAGCCTCCTGTATTTCCTCAGGCCCTAGGTCTCCGCCGGGACCCTCTGGAACCGGTTCCTCCTGGCTGCCCCTACCTGGGGCTACGGCCCCTGCCCGCGGGGATACTCACCCGAGCTTCACGTAGAGGACGCCAAAGCAGAGAAACACGTAGAAAATCCACTTGCGAAAGTTTCTGTGCATGATCCAGGGAGGGGGGCTGCGCCATAGACAGCGGCGGCCGGAAGGGACGCGCGGTCGGGGCGGGGAACCGGCAAGGGCAGGGGGCTTCGGTGAACCGCTCTCAGCCAGCGCTGCGGCTCGGGCGGCCGGCGACGCGCGAGCACTCGGCGCGCGCTGCCACCATGGTGAGCCCGGGGCGCCGCTGCCGCTGCCGCCGCCGCCGCGTGCGCCCGGGTAGTGACCTGGGCCGGGAACCGCGACCTCGGAGCCGGGCTGAGAGATCGCAGGGCAAGACGAGCACCGGCGGGGGCCGGGCCCGAGCTCGGCGGGCGGGCGGGCGCTGCCTCCTCTGGGCGCAGCCGCCTGGGGCCGTGCGCGCCTCGCCGAGCGCCGCCGCGGCCAATGTGTCCGCACTTGTCCGCCTCCCCAGGTGACTCGCGGCCCCGGCAAGCGAGCTGCGAGAGAACGAGCGCGCCCCAGGTAGGAGGATCCGCCTCCCGCCCGCCCTCCTCGCTCGCCGCGCGCTCTCTCTCCCTCGCTCCCGGGCTCTCCCCTCCCTTTTCTCCTCCCTCCCCCGTGACACACAAACACATCCACCCCCCCCCCCAACACACACACCCCTCCCCAGGCCCGCTCCCTTCCATCGGTCTCCTGGGACTGGTCAGGAGGAGGGGAATTGGGTGTGCGGAGTTGTGGGGGGGCCGCAGGGGAGCGTACATCTCGGAAGAGACACCTGCGGTGGCCCTGGCCTCTATGCTGGCAAGGAGGTGGGGGTGGCACGCGGGGGAATGTCTGGTGCAGATCGCAGTGCCCGCTCTCTTCCAATCTCTAGTGGGGAGGGAGGCCGAGACCACCCACCCCCATAGGCGTTCTTGGCGTGCTTCCCCTTCCCCCAGCAATTATACACTTGGGGTCCTCCTGGGCCACACCCTTAGCCCAAGTATCGCTAGCTCCCTTGCAGACCTCCATGGAGCCCTCCGCCAGCACCCAGGGTCACCCCCACCTGTCAGCACTGCTGCTGGAGAGACTACCCCAGAGGGGACAGGGAAGGGACAGACAGGCCTAGACGGATGCAGGCGGATGGCTCGCCAAGAATCCTGTAGAAGCCATTGGACTAAGCACCATGATGGGGGTGAACAGGAGGATGTTGAGGGACCCCCTTGGCTTTGGGAGAGGCTCTCCACCCCCAGGGGTTCCCTGCTTCGCCTCTCTCACTGCCTCTGCTCAGTCTCCTCTGCAGTGTCCGGCTCAGTGTCCACGTTCAGAGCCGAGAGCTCGGGGTCTACCTGGCTGCTGCAGCTTGCACACCCCCAGCGGTCCTGCTCGGCACAGCCCTGGGCAAGCGGGTGGCCGGCCGGCAGACCCTGTCCCAACAGAGCTCTGTCTTTCCAGAGGGGCGGGCTGGGGGCCAGCCACCTAACGGCTGTCCTGGCCAGGTTCCTCTGCTGTTCTGCGAGTTCTCAGCCCTGGACTCCATCAAGCATGCCACTTTTGGGGGAGTGGATGGAACTGGGAAGCGCTTAATTCCCGAGGGCCAGTGAGAGGGAGACTAGCTGTGGTGGGCGTAGGGCAGGGGCAGTTGTTTCCAGCCACCCTGAGTCCCACCTCGCCAAGCCCCAGTGGGGGGAAGCCTAACTCAGAACCTACTTACCTGCACCCCTGCGTTCCTGCTCAACTCCCTGCCCCACTCCCTCTTAATCCTTCTCAAGTCCCTAAACCTTTGCGCAGGCCATTCCTCGGCCCCTCGACTGGAGGCCAGGCGGATGGGGAGGGTTCCCAGGTGGAAACGTTGGTGAGTAATCACGGGCAGGGAAACTGAGGCACAGAGAGACGTGGAGGGACCGTGTCAACCTCGCTCAACGTGTTCCTTGCGCCCCGGACATCCCGTTCAGTGAGAATGGGAAACGGAGCGCTGGAACCGGAGGGAGGCGAGGAGCCCTACCCGCGGCGGCAGGAGCGGGGCCCGCTGGGGGTGGGGAGCGGCGGGAGGAGCCGGGCGCGCGGGCGGATGCTGCCACCCGGCGGCGACACCGCGGACGCTCGGATGGTGCGTCCGAGCCAGCACTGCCGGGCCGGGCCGGGCCGGACGCCAGGCTGCGAGGCGAGCGGTGTCCCCGACCCTGTTAGAGTCCGCGGACCACCCCGCGGCCCCACAGCCCCGGTCCCAGCGTCCGTCCACGCGGCGAATCCTCAGGAGCTGTGGGGCGCCGGCGGGGCTTCCCTGCTCGGGTCGAGCGACCGCGCCGCACCCACCGCCGCCCACCCCGGTCCGATCCGGGCCTCGGGTCGAGTTGGCTCCGGAAGCAGCCGGGCAGGGTGCGGTAGGGTGGGGAGAAGAGAGTTGCGGCGGGCGAGCGGGCGAGCGGGCGGGACCCCTGAGTTCGCTTGGTCTCGACCTGTCTCTCTGTGCCTCAGTTTCCCCGCGAGGGCCGAACGTAGAGCAGAGCCTCTCCAGACGGAGGGACCGTGTCGCTGCGTCGTGCTGCCCCCTGCTGGCCGCGTCTGGCAGGAGGCGCGGGGCAAACGTCGGGGGGGCAGGTATGGCGGGGCTGGGTTCAAGACCTCTAAGTCGCTCCCTCAACAGTCTGTGATTCCTCCTCCCTGTCTCCAGGGGAGTCTCTGAATAGCTTCAAGGTTGGGGGAATCTGGGGTGGGGAGAGCTCTGCGAATCCCCTTCCCGTGTGTGTTTGTGTGTGTGGACGGGTGCACACCCTCACGTACATACCAAAACACCAAACTAGTTCCTGCCCCAGGGCCTTTGCACTGACCGTCCCTTCTAGCACAGTGCTCTTCCCCAGGTTCTTTGTGACCCCAGCATAAATATCACAAATCGGAGGGGCCCACACATTCCTCTTCCCAAACATATTCACTGGTATTCTCTATCCTAACAATCTGCTGTTCCCTTTGTGACGCTGAAGACAATATGCCATTACTTGCTCCCTATCACTAGCCTATAAGCTCCATGGGGGCCATCTTCACATCTGCTTTGGTTCTCGCTCAGTCAAGTGCTCAACAAGCAGTTGTCAAAGCAACAGATGATTTTCCAGGAAGCAGCCGGCATCCACAACCCATAATGTTACAAGCCATGGAGAGCAGGGACCGGACATTGAGTCCTTTCAACCTTGAGACGGGGCTCAAGCACCATCTCCAGCATTGGCCACACCCCGTTCTTGCTGCCTTTCTCCTGCTTCACTGACAAGTGTTTCTTGAGCCCCCACAACTCGGGCTGTGTGTTGGGCACAGTCTAGACAAGGAGTGGGTCCCCAACTATGGGACCTCACACAGCCTTGTGCAACGGAGTTATCACACTTATTGCACAAAATGAGGAACCAAGATAGAGAAGGAAGTGCTTGGCCAAGGTCACACGGTTGGTGAAGCTGGGACTCGAACCCAGGCCCATCAGGCCCAGACACTGGGCTCCTTCCACTGCACGTCTCAACCACCAGGGAGATGGGGCCTATGCCCCATGGAGTGGAAGATACGGGGCACACCGCCCCCATCCTGATGCGGGGAATCCCCAGTTCAGTGAGGGAACAGAGTGTGGGACGAGGCCCTAGGACAGCAGGCCCAGAGGAAGGTCCCAGCGGCACTGGGCAAACCCCTGGAGTAGTGAGGTACATGAGAAGGGCCTGGAAAGGAACAGATTTGTGGTAGTGGAATTTCTAATGGCCCCCAAAAATGTCCTGCCCTAATCCCTGGGACCAGGAATATGACAACATATCACACCCATTCCTGTACATGGCAAAGGTGTGATAAGGTTACTAATCAGTTGACTTTGAGTTCATCAAAAAGGATCATCCCAGCGCACCTGACCTAATCCTACCTGCCCTTAAAAGCAGAGAATATTCACGTGGCCCCATGGCAAGGAATGCAGATGGCTTCTGGGAGCTCAGAGCAGCCCCTGGCTGACAGCTGCAATGGACTGGGGAACTCAGGCCTACAGTCACAGGACCTAATTCTGCCCCTAAGCCACCAGCTGAGCCCCTGCCCTGTCCACATGTTGGTTTCCACGTTGTGAAACCCGGAGCAGAGAATCAGCCACACCTCGCCGGACTTCTGAGCACAGAACTGTGGGGTCACAAATGCATGTAGTTTTAAGCTGCTACACTTGTGGCGATTGACCACACAGCAGCATGAAACCAATACAGTACAATTTGGACACGCAGAGATACAGAAGCAGAAATCCAAATGATCGAACCGTATGAGCGAGGGCTGCTGGGTGCTGGGAAGTCGTGGAGCAAAGTAAAAGATGAAACCAGAAGGAGACAGGGGCTCAGACAGGGAAGCCCGAATGCCATGCCGAGGAGCATGGACTCAATTTCAAGGGCACTGGGGAGCTATTGAAGATTCACAAGGGAGAGAGACCCACCCGAAGTGGGCCTGAATGGAGTGTCCCCAGCTTGCCTGAGCAGCCAACCCCTAGGATGACTCCAGACCTACTTCTGCAGGATGGTCCTGGGGAAGGGTCCTGGGAACCTGCGTGTTTAGTAAACACTCAGGTGACTCCGGAGATCAGCACATTTGGGGAACGCTCCTATTGGACAAATACAGAAACAGTTGAACATTCTGAGCCCACATCCCAGATCCTCTCTGTGCATGAGGTTTTCAAGAGCCCCTGTCGGGGGGGTGGCGGTTGTGGGGAGGAGCCCCCCTTGGTGGGAGGGCAGAGCACCTTCCTGGTGAGTGGGAACCAGAGCCCATCTGGGAGAAGAGGCTGTGGGAGACAGATGAGCTCCAGCGTAAGCCTGAGACAGTCTTCCCGGGAGCCTTCCTGACCGCCCCAGTGTGCCGCGGAGGGCTCCCCTGGAGAAGGGTGGACCGAGCTTCCCCCTTTCCCGGGGGGTGGTGGTGGAAAATGAGGACCCCCTTCCCCGGACAAGTCCTGGAGCTTCACAGGACTGCACGGGTGCCCAGGGGCCCCGAGAACTAGAAGGAGTGAGCACCTGGAGCCAGTGTCTGCCACCACGAACAGAACGTGCAGGCCACCCTGCGACTTCTGACCCCGCAGAAGTTCCGGATCTGGGATGTGAGGTGTCTGCCGGCGGGCTCAGGGCCACCTTGGAACAAACTTGCTGCTCAGCTCAAAGGTGGTAGGGGTCAGGTCGGCCCCTGCAGAGGCAAGCATCACCCATTGTTACCTTGGTGACAGGCTGTCCTCCACCTGTCAACAATCAGGTGGGTGTCACCGCCTAAAATTCCGGTGGCCGGACAGACCAAGGCGCAGAGAGAACCCCACCAACCCAGGCTGAACTGTGATTCGAGAGA